TTCCTTAACACATTGTCACTAGAACCTTAGCCAGGTATAAAAACAAGCTCAGACACACTAATAGTTGCCTTACCATATCATGGCTATCTAACCAAAAACACAATAAACAATTGGAAACATGTATCACAATAATATAATATAAATAGTAAAGTTATTTATATTCCAAAACCGAGCACTAAAATCAAAGGTCATCTAAGGAAGGTTTATTCTGACAACTTGAACGACGGAACTAACTACAAGTATAAATTTGATCGATGCGATAGCACTTACACAGGCGAAACTGGACGCAACATAAATATTAGAATCAAAGAATATAATAATCCATAATCACACATTTACGAACACAGCACAACGAATCAAGAATTATTATTATTATCAGCATCTTTAAAATATTATGCAATGAGAACAACATTAATGGAAGAAAAATAAAAAAGGTTTAATTATTCCTGAGTAAAACCTAATTTAAATCAGAACACAGGTGTCACCCTATATGTTTTTGAAATTGGAACAAAATGCTCGCGCAGTATTTCACACAATAGATGACAGTTATCTGATGACGGTTACTCGAGTATCCGAAAGGTGGTAATGAACAAAGATAAATAATCCACTCAAAAGCTGTTTCTCTGGTCTTTTATTTAAAGTACACAGTGAATTTCCTCTCTTTACAACAAATGTTTAATGCGTATTCGAAATAGATTTGAAATGATTTCTTACCCTCCCAGCACAATAATTACAAACACGTTATTACATCTAGCTTCCGTATGGATTCTAACTTATGTAGAGATCATGCTTCGTCATTCAATATCTGACAATCAACAGATAAATTACATCGATAAACTAGGTCGTTATCCAAAAATATTCCATCTCTTGCGCGACGAGTCAGCTGCTATTTCATGGTTAGCATAAATAACTAATTTTATAAGTTTTAATATTATTGTGATTTAGTTTAGGATATTAAGTAGTTCTAATTTATTTACTGCAGTTCATATTATGTTCTGATCTAATAAGCGTGTTTTTTTTCCAGAAATTCTTAATAATTAAGGCAACAGCTAGTAGCTTTTCTTCATTTAATCATATAATACTGTATGAAGCATGGCACACTTTTGGTTACTGTGTCCTTTTAGGTATAAATGTTTATTAATAACTAGACTTTCTGTTTTATCTTGTATTTTTAAAACTTTAATAGCTATGATTCCCGATCTTCGCCCAAAGGAACCGCCTTTGAGGCTAGGGAGATCATGTGATATCATAGTTTCACAGAAGGATGCTAGAGGGCGGATAGTTTCATAGAAGGACGCTAGTGGGCGGATAATTTCAAAGTACGTCACTAGAGGGCGGGCGATGAAAACAACTCAATATAATAGCTTAACTTGCAATCTATGTAGAGGACTATGTCTCATATTAACGTAAAACATTAAAACACGAGATATATATATCATATGCATCACATTACAAGGAAGCTACTACTTCATTCTATATTGTTCTTAACACGATATTAGTTTCTGTATTAACTTTAGAGTCAACTTTCTACTTTATAGCTTCACTTCAATATCAATAATAAACAAAGCGTCTGATTACGTAAAATGATCATTTCATGTATTGCAGTTTGACTGTTTGTATAGCGTACTTCATGATTACCCATGTATTAGTTTAACTTACAAATCGTTTTGTTACAACCAAATATAAAAATTCTAATATTATTTTTCGTCGAACGACTTTCTAAAAGTCAATCGATCGTCGTCTTGTGCGACATAACGGTTATTTCACGGTTTGCTATAATAACTATAGCTTATTCAAGGTTTACACATATATCAGGTTAATTGTAATATACTCCTGACAATGAAACATTTTCCAAATTAAGGGGGACAAAAATTAAACTCTAGATATTAATCCGCACTTGATATCCGTACACTACTTGAACTTGCAAAGTACTTAGTTGTGAAACGGACTGTTTCTTGTGCTTTTTAACTAAAATATTCAAATTCCACATAGATATTATACGTATGACATTAACTGACTGTAATCTAGTACGTTGGAATTTACAGTTTACTTATATGACTATACATACATTAGATTATCTTACAATTACATAGTCCTGAAAAGGACGTTTTTTTTGTGTGTTAACCTAGATATTTTCGTGTAAAAAGAAACAAATAAGTAGTAAGACAGTATTCGATTTATCATGGTCTATTTAGCCATGTTTTCATTTTTACATATAATTATTAAACTCTATAAGAAATCATTTTGTTCTAACTAAATATAGTAACACCAATATTTTTCTTTATGAAACGGTTTTATAAATGAATGATTTATTTTTTTTGTAGAACAAAATTTCAGATTTTCTATTAAACTAAGGGGAAAATAAATAACAACACCTGCCAGTTTTACATGTTATTATAGCATCCAATAATCATCTCCGTTGGTTAAAGAGGTTTGATTTTTATTAAGAACATTAGCGATACAACAGAAAATAGCTTAATTCAGAAACGATTTAAGTTTCAAATTGAATCGATATTTTTTATGTAAGATAGATTCTGTAATTGTTTATCTTTAATATCAGACATTTGGAAATCTAATATTTGATTTTCTAGTTTTTCGATATGATTCGATTAATCTATATTGTTCAACAACTGCCTGAATCAGATAGTTAAAATAAGCGTATGTTTTGCAACTTGCCGTCAGTCTTCAGAATGTGCCTAATGATCAAAGATCTGTTAAATCTTGGTCAAACATAGCAAAGTTATCAGATACAAAAAGAGACGGACAGTTTTATAATTAACTAGAAACTTGTTAACATTGTCTGATAGGAAGAATAACAGCGATGATAAATGTTAAATCAGTCAAAACAACAACTGTACGATACATCCAGATGATCATCATAATCAAAATTTCATCTTATAATACAACAAAATATATCTGTAGAGCGTAGGGTGTTTTGTATCTCAAGTTTATCATAAAAGGCTATGTTTGACCAATGTGTGGGTTATTGCCAGGGGGCTAACGTTTACAGTATCAGTCCGTGTGAGGAGAGAGAATCTATTATGCACCTACTTATATGCAGCTTTTAAAAAGGTTATCTAATATGAAGTTTTGTCATTTCTAATGTGTGGCGTGAGTTATTTATGTCAAATAAAGTTATAGTTAACAACTTAACAGAAAGTCGTAGAAGTTGTGAAATCCTAGCGGATGATATGACAAAACACAAAATTGATAAGTGCAGCTATTTATTTTTATTTTATTTTCTATAATAAAAAATTTTACTTAAGTGATTGAATTTGTAATACAGTAAGTCATTCAGTCAGGGAACCGTTTGTAAAAGCAAAATATCAGTGTTACTATATTTAGTTGGTACAAAATGATTTCTTATAGAGTTTGATAAATAGGGTTAAAATCAGATATAAGAATGGAAACGGGATGTACAGATCATGATAAACTGTACACTTTATTACTACCTTTTTTTTTTCTTTGAACACGAAAATATCTAGTTTGAATATTCTAAGTTAAAACGAAATAAATCATTTTTCAAGTTATTTATTTGTAAGATAATCTGGTGATATATATATATATATATATAGTCATATAAAAAACCATAAGTTCAAACTGCATTACATTACAGTTACTTAATGTGATACGTATCATATTTATGTCGAGTTTAAATGTTTTCATGTTAATATAGAAAATATGTCTTTTTCAGGACTATATCCTAATTAAACTAATATACGTGTAAACCTTGAAGTACGCTATACATATTACAATATAATGTTAAGCACTCTGTCCAGAGTTTCTAGAATATGTTTTGAACTGTGTATCATGCCGCACGAGATACAGGTCGACTGACCTTTATAAAACCCTTTTACAAAATACACTATCAAAGTTACAATACTTAGTTGGCCCAAAATGCTCTACCTTCAGTTGTATAACTATAAGTTATCATAACGTAAGGCTATTTTCATATGGTGCATAGGGTGGCATTTAGAGTATAAATATTTTAGGTTAACAGGACTACGTAGATAGTATATTAAACTAATATATGTATAATCACATGAGTAAATCATACTGAATGCTATACAATCAGTGAAACCATAACAAAACACGATGAAACATAATGTTTGTACTTATTCAAACACTTTGTTTGTTATTACAAATTTAATACATCTGTCCATTTTCATTTGGACGTACAACTTTAATATTTTTATATGATACATTTTGATTGTTTTATGGTAATACGGAAGAGAGTACTCTAAACTAATACTGTGTTAATAACTATTAATAATGAAGTAGTTGTTTTATTAGTATTTCATAATGCGATACCAACGATATATATCTAGAGTTTGTATATTTTATGTTACTACGAAATTAAGTCCTTTACGTACATTCTAAGTTAAACTAGTATCTCATCACCCACCCCTAGTGACGCACTTTAGAACTAACCGACCACAGTAACACAACTTCGATCTCACCGCCCTAGTGGCACACTTTTGAACTATTTACCTTCTGGCGCCACTCAGTGGAACTATGACGACTTCTGACCTCCAAAGTCTCAAAGGAAATCCCCTCTCACACTGACTTCAACACACATTCGACCATCCACTCTGGCGGCTCTTTTGGGCGAAGGTTGGAAGCTCTAACTACTGACATTAATTTTCTTATTTATTTCTAACCAACTATGTATTACAAAATAACAATTTGTTTAAGAACACAATATTCTGTAACAAAAATATTATTTGAAATAAGTAACTTTTACACTATTCTTACATATTTTGATCTCTACGACAAACCGCTGTCGTACTATGACGTAATGTTAGTAGTTAGTCCGTACAGTGTTCAGATATATCATATTAGGAATTCGGATAAAGTGATATTCCGCTATTAATTACAACAATATCCGCATTTCTGTACAATAAATATAACAAGCTAATAAACGTTCTCTATAATATATAAAGTTTTCCATATATCACGTCTAATTTGTTAATTTTTACATTTCTCTCTATAACAAACAACAAATTTTATATACTCATAGCATAATTTTTATCTACTTTGCATCACGATTCACAATCGGATAAAGAGGACTAGGTAGTATACGTGTCTTTCTAGTTAGTTAATAACGGTACTTTGTGTACTGTGCTTACAAGATGTAGCCAACAGGAAGAGCAATGAAACTAGCAGCTAATTTACTAGTTTAACAACTGAATCATTACAAATATTCTACTATTTTTTATAAGCCAGAAATAGAGAAGGGCGTGTATACAGTTCTCGTATAACCATCTTTCAGTACACATATCATATCTGCAAGATACGAGTCCTTCAAATATGTCTGTCGAACGAGTATATATATATATATATATATTTCTTCTAAAACCTAGTTCAGAAACCTTTCAGTTAGCGGATGTTATAATAAGTTAATAAGCTATTAAAGTTTACTGACTAAAGCCTTCAACAAGAGCTCTATTTTATATGCTTATTAATGGTCACAGTTTTTTATTGTTTGTTTTTTACACACTATCAATATGCCTCAACTATTTATGAGTAACTGTTTAACGGAAGCACACTTGGCTAGAGTGATTATTCAATGCAATAAGTGACCTCATAAGACGCTACGAGAAATTACCTATACCTCCACGATTCCATTCCTTTACGTTATTGACAGAAATCATATAGGCCTAAGCGTGCATCTCTGGTTTCCAGCTTCATGTACATTTCCGAATATAATTTTTTTTTCAAGTTTATCTACAAACGTTGCTTATGGTATAATTAGTAATATTGCGATAGTGTAGGTCTTATGAAACGATTCTTAAATGCAGTTGAAAAAGTGTTCTTTCATGATAATTTACTTAAATCAACTGGAGAACTAGGCCTACTGGGAGATCGGTAGAAAGTTTCGGAACGATGAATAGAGCGAATTTCGGCTCGCCCAAAATCGAATCGAGGAAAGCAGCTCTCTGACTTAGGTCGTGGAATGGTACATTTTAAAGCTGCTGCTATGGAGCGGTCATTCTTCCTAGAACGAGATTTCTCTTCTTCCTGAGCAGAGTCATCACTTCCTGGAGTCTGTGCTGAAAGGATGATAGCATTTACAGTTTTCAGGTCATTCTGGAAGTCTTCCCGTTGACTGACAATGTTGGGATTCTTTCCAATTTTGTTGAGTCGTTCGGCAGCAATAGATTCCATGGTGCGCCTCATCACAGGAAACATATCCAGAACAGAGTTAAAGTGTTCCACAGACAGAGAAAACAAATGACAATATGTTTCCGCTCGGACACTGGCTACTCGTCGGGTGTTTGTCAGAAGACAAATTTCTGAGAAACATGGAAATATGTCCATTTTCATCAACATAAAACTTGCTACCCAGCAGTTAAAATTATATTGTTATTTCTTTTTAAAGAATAATAATAAAAAATGAGATAGGTTGAAAACAGTTCTTAACTAATCAACAAAGAGTTGCTATAACAAATGATCGTTTTTTCCCCTCTTTAAAACGTCGTTTATAACAGCTCGAAAGTTCTTATTTAAAAAATAAACGTGCTTGGTAATTAAACGTAACATTAAATACAGGCCTGAAATGATAATATATGAGGCTTAACTAAAGTCAAAAAGTTCTTATTTTTAATAAATGAAATGACAGTCGTTTGTCCTTGGAATAACAGACTGTCGTAAAATTGCCACTGAAATAAATAACATTTCGACTAGATGTCTATCATTTAGGCATTCCAACAAGTAATGATTAAGCATTTCCACAAAATGAATAAAACTTCGTCTTAAAATGTTTCTAAAATTGTAGTCATATACTTAAAAACTGATAAAAAAAACCTAAACATATATAAAGACAAGTTGAGAAGTTAAAACGAAAGTAATTACGTCAGACAGAAATACATAGGAATGTTAATCTGTTCAGGTAAAAACAGTGACAACCAATGAGGAAATAATATTTGAGATAATTATAAGTAAAAAGTACACGAACATTTCCAGATAGAAATGCATTCTATTATAGTCTAGTACAGCAAGCGTCAGTGATACAAAATAAAAAGGCCCGGCATGACCAGGCGGTTAGGGCGCTTGACTCGCAATCTTAGGATCGCGGGTTCGAATCCCCGACCTATCAAAAGTGCTCGCCCTTTCAGCCGTGGGGGGCGTTATAACGTGACGGTCAATCCCACTATTCGTTGGTAAGAGAATAATCCAAAAGTTGGCGGTGGGTGGTGACGACTAACTACCTTCCCTCTAGTCTTTCACTGCTAATTTAGGGACGGGTAGCGCAGATAGCCCTCGTGTAGCTTTGCGCAAAATTAAAAAACAAAATTAAAAATGTTTTTACTCTTGATAGCATCATCAAGATTTCAACCATCTGACAAAGACAGAATGCTTCATCGAATAATGTATATAGTTGCTTCAAAATGTATCCGATTTTTTAAATATTTTACTCTTTTCTCAAGCTTCGTTGTACTGAAAAGAGATTCTTCGAAATAATTCCTTAAATCGGTTGAGTGTAAGTTATACAAATATACTTCTATTAAACATTACTCATACACCCATTTTAATGATTTTGTCTAACATAATGAAGACAGTGTGAGAATGACATTGATATTAAAGGATTTGTCAAATTCTCTCATAAAAAACGATATTTTATCTATGAACACAATGAAACAAAGATTAAACAACTAGGCTACTCAACCCGGTATATACCGACTATGGGCTTTTTGTGAAGAATGAAGAGTTGGAACAGGAAACGAATAAATCTCAGAGTACAATACCAAAGAAAAGGACAAATATCAGATTTATAGTAATAGTTGCAAAGGCAAATAGACTGAATACTTCTAGGAGAAGTTGTGTTCAAAAGCAAATAAAGGATATAAAACTTCTTATTGACCGTAAAGCACAAAATATGTGTTCAAAACAAGTACTTACCCTTACTGTGCTTTATGTGTTAAAAAAACCTCCGATTTGCACTTTGTGAAATTACACGTAACTGTGCATTGCTGTTTTATTATACTGATGCGATCAGGAAGAAGAATATACAGTTTTATCGGGTAATAACAAAGTCTACCAAATATGTTATGATAAGCTAAACCAAAGAAAGTATACCATCAGGTTAGGGATTTGTACATTTCATCAACCAGAGTAAAACGTTGCATTAAAACGAATATCTAAACCAAAGAAAGTATACCATCAGGTTACGGATTTGTACATTTCATCAACCAGAGTAAAACGTTGCATTAAAACGAATATCTAGAAAAATACCAGAAAATTAAAATCATAATATCACGCTCTGTTATTATTATTCATTTCTAAACAAATTCAAACTTTAAATATATCAGCAAACTGACAAAACTTTTTCAGTCAAATTGGACCTAATAAAGTTGATTTCGAGCCGAGACAAAGATTTTCTTTCCATTGAATTACATAAGTCCTGTCCAATAGAAACAACGGAACTATCCTAATTATTGAACAAGACGTCGGCAATTAGGCAATATGGTTTTGGTTTGTTTTGAATTTCGCAAAAAGCTACACGAGGGCTAACTGCGCTAGCCGTCCTTAATTTAGCAGTGGAAGACTAGAGGGAAGGCAGCTAGTAATCACCACCCACCGCCAACTCTTGGGCTACTATTTTACCAACGAATAGTGGGATTTACCGCATTATAACGCTCCCACGGCTCAAAAGGGCGAGTATGTTTGGTGGGACGGGGATTCGAACTTGCGACCCTCAGATTGCGAGTCAAGCGCTCTAACCACCAGGCAATATGGACTTTTGTATATTTCTACAATCTTCTAAGTATGGTCCAATAGAAAGACTTGTAGCAACCGTCCCTAACTGAAAATATAATATCTGTAATTGGTTTAGGGTATACATCAATCCCCTAACAATGCTGCAGAGCTTGTACAAATTCACTAACCGAGATTAAGGTGTCTAGAGTGGGTTTACCGTTTCAACCGACCACCTAACTATGATCAGTCAAAAATAGGCAGTGATGAGTTAACATACATTAGACTTTACACCCAACACCTAAGTGAATATAACAGTATTTATAAGTTGTTTCCTTTATGACTCTGTACCTACCTCCGAAGTATGAACCGTCAGAGAGACTTGTAGCCACTTCTCCATTAGACATTACGATATCGACTATTCCCTCTTGGATGAAGTACATTTTGTTTCCCAGAGTTCCTTCTTTTATGATTCTGTCGCCTGGCTGGAAGACTTCGTAATGCAATTTAGTAACCACATCGTTAACAAAGTTTTGGTCAGCGTTAGAGAAAAATGGAACAGATGCTACCAATTCCCGGCAGTTGTAGTTGATAACATCCTGAAAAATGTAGATAAAAAAAAAAAAGACATAAGGCAGTTGAAGACAAAAGAGAGTCCGTTACTCGAGGTCACGTTTATAGAAAACTATATCATAATAACGTAATTACATCCATAAACATTGATCTCTCCAAGAAAAAATAAAATGATCCTCTTTGTAAAGAGAATTAGACCTAACGGTTTGTGCTATCAAAAAAAAGAAAAAAAGCATGAAATCATTTGTGTGAAATTTAAAACTATGAGAATAATGACAATATTTTGATGGTTTAGAGCAAATCTGATTTGTCCACCGCGGGGAATCGAACCCCGGATTTTAACGTTTTAAGTCTGTACATTTAACGCTATCTCATCGGGGGACAATAATTTGTTGAAAATGTATGGTATAATATTAAAGAATAAATATCATTTGGTTGATAACTTTTGATACTAAGAAACATTGAATCACCAGGAGTTTTGTATTGCAACTTGGTGAACACTTAGTACCAATATATATTGTTTGACCCGCAGAACATGTGATACCAGGAGACACTGCATTAACTCCTGATTAACTCTTGATACGAGGAGGAACTGTATCGCTAGCAGGATATACTCTTCATACTAGGAATACCCTTGCCAGAGTTACACAGTGCCTCTTAATATAGAAGTCTTCATATTAAGAGGCACTGTGTAACTCTGGAGAAGTCTTCATATTAAGAGGCGCGGTGTAAATCTGGAGAATTCTTAATATCAGGAAGGACTGTATAAGTCTGGATAATCCGTAATATCAGTAGGCGCTGTGTAACTCTGAATAACTCTTGGTATCAGGAGGCACGGTGTAGGTCTGGAGAATTCTTAATATCAGGAGACACTGTATAACTCTGGAGAACTATTGATAGCAGGAAACACTGTATAACTCTGAAGAAATCTTGATATCAGGAAGCACCTTATCACTTGCTAGAAAACATTTGATATGAGGAAATCTTGTATCCCTAGAGTTGGAAAACATAATAAAATACACTGTATTACTTTCTAAAGAAAAACCCGCTATTGATAGACACCATGATATTACTAAATAAGAAAGAAATACCTTTCCCAGTTTTATTTCTATTATGGTTAAGTAATATATGTCTTTATTTTATTACTGTACTACCGTAAATGAAATCTGATATGTTAGGTTGTTGACTTGCGTATTTGAATCTAGCTCTTTGAAACAAATATTACTTTATCATTGTAGTAGACAACAGACAAAGAGAAGTGTAAACAGTGAGAAATGGCAGCAGAATTTCAGGAGGAGCTTAAGTTTTTACATGAACGGGCTACATTAGCTAACAATGACTTTCAGGAAGTTAGAAACAGTACTGTTAGGGCTAAATGTAGTGAATTGAGTTATAATGAACCTATTCTGTTGAGCAACAAATTTCAGCAGTTGGCTTCTGCAGACGAGGAACTATTGGAAGGAAGGAAAACAAAAGGGTCAAAGAAGGATAGAATAGTCTGTGGGGTAAATAGGGAGAAAATAATCAGATTATGCTACCCAGGGGCACAGGTGGAGAATATAACTGACAGAGCAGGAGATATAATAAAGGGATGCAGAGATGCAGATTTTATTGTGCATGTGAGGGCTAATGATGTAGGGAAAGGTAAGTCAAAGGAGCTAATTAACAAGTACAAGGGGTTGATAAAGGCATTTAAAGGAAAAGGCCATAACTTAATTTTGTCAGGGATACTGCCCAGAATTAACTATGGGGGATGAAATTATAAGTAGGTCACTAGGGCTAAATGCTAGGCTTAGGTTAGTATGTAAGGATGAACAAATTGGCTGGTTGGACTTGTGGGATCAGTTCAGTGGAAGAATGGAGCTTTTTCGAATGGATGGTTTACATTTAAATAGGGTAAGGGCTAGATTGTTTACTAATGCTATTAACTCAGCTGTAACAGAAGTTTTAAACCAGGACTAAACAGTGGTGAGGGCCAGGAAAATCTATATGCAAAAACAATAAGAAGCAGAGAAAAGTTTAGCATAGGAAATGAGTATAGAAGTAGTTATAAGGATAGGCTTAATTGTTACTATTTAACTGCTAGAAGTATAAGAAATAAAATATATGACTTTAGAGCACTGGTAGGGAAGGAGGATTTTGATATGATGAGAATAACTGAAACATGGTTAAATATAGATGATTTTGATGACAGAAATTTTTTTAAATACAGGGTTACATGCTATTTACTAGGGATAGAGTATTGAAGGGGGGAGTGGTTTTATATGTAAAATGTGACTTACATCCTGTTGAAGTTGAGGATATCAAAGATAATAGCAAAGATATTGAATCCATTTGGGTTACTATTGGTGGATATAAAGGGAAAAGGCTTTTAGTGGGAATTTGTTACAAACCACCAAATCATACTGACGAAATTAGTAAGAAACTTTACTATAAGATTGAGATTTCAGCTGTTAATGAAGTCATAATTATGGGTGATTTTAATTTCAGGCATACAGGTTGGAAAATTCTACAGTTAAACCACGAGGGAGAAAGGTTTTTGGAAACTATTTAGGATGGCTTTCTTCACCGATTAGTCAAAGAACCAACAAGAAACAATGCTATTTTAGATTTATTGTTAACTTCAAATAAAGAAATGATTGAGAGGGTGGAAATTGGGGAACATCTTGGTGCAGGTGATTATTGCTCTATTAGGTTCAATGTTTTGCTACAAATGGAAATACGGAATAATGATATTTTGGTTACAAGTTTCAAAAAAGCAAATTTTGAAGGGATGCGATAAGAATTATCTGTTGTGAATTGGGCAGCTTAGGTATTTGGAACCACTGAGCAGATGTGGAAATTTTTTAAAGATAAATTTTTAAATATTCAAGGTAAACATATTCCTTATGAAAAGAAAAGGGTTGCTGCAAGTAAAAAACCAGGTTGGCTCACAAAGAGTTTAAGAGATAAAACTAAAGAAATTTAATAGATTTAAATTAACTGGTATGACAGGAGGTTTAGAAGATTATAGAAGATCAAGAACGTTGGTGAAACAGGAAGTTAGGATATCAAAAGAGATGTATGAGAAAAGGTTGGCTGAAAATGTAAAAATTAACAGTAAGGATTTTTTTTAAATACATTAAGGGGGTAAACAAAATGTTAAGATGGGGTAGGACCCTTGAGGGATGATAAAGGAATGCTGGTATCTAATGATTATGAGATGGCTGGGTTATTAAATTTTGCTTTTTCTTCAGTTTTTACTAATGAAGATTTAAGCAGTATTCCACATCTTAAACAGTTGATAGATGGAAACAAGACCGAAAAAGATGACTACATTAATTCTGAGATGGTTAAGAAAAACAATTGGGAAGTTTAAAAACGATAAGTCTCCTGGGCCAGATAATATTTCCCGAAGGGTTTTGAAGAAAGTTAAAGATTGAATATGTGAGCCACTTACTACTATTTTTTGTCAGTCCTAGAATAGTGGGCAGGTACCAGAGGATTGGAAGGTAGCTAATGTAACTCCTCTTTCCAAGAGAGGTGATAAAAATTGTCCCAGTAATTATAGACCCACTAGTCTTACATTACTTGCGGAAAAAGTTTTGGAAACTCTGTTAAAAGATGCTTTACAAAGTCATTTAACAAAGTTTAGAATTTTATTGAATAGTCAACATGGTTTCACTAAGGGAATATTTTGCCTAACAAATCTTTTAACATTTTTTGAAAAGGTTACTGCTTATGTAGATGAGAGTAATGGTGTAGATTTGATGTATCTGGATTTTCAGAAAGCATTTAACAAGGTGCCACATAAAAGGCTTGTAAAAAAATTAGCTCTATAGGTGTGGGAGATAAGTTAGCAAATTGGATAGAAAAGTGGCTAGATGGAAGAAAGCAGAGGGTTGTTACAAATGAAGATCAGTCAAACTGGGTTAATGTCACAAGTGGGGTACTTCAGGGTTCAGTCTTAGGACCTTTGCTGTTTTTTATTTATGTCAATGACGTAGATGAAGGGATAGTCAATAAATTACTTAAATTTGCAGATGATATTAAGGTATTGGGTGTTGCTAGCTGTGAAGAGGATGTTGCTCATTTACAAAAGGATTTAGTGAGTTGGGCAAATAAATGGCAGATGGATTGTAATTATAATAAATGCAAGATAATGCATGTGGGTTATCATAATTTGAATTATAAATATAATTTGGATGGGAATAACCTTAATATTGTTATGAAGGAAAGGGATATTGGTGTAATAGTCAATCAGTCTCTAAAGCCATCCAATCAGTGTGTTATTACTAGTTGTAGGGGAAATAGGATTTTAGGTTGTATCTATACAAATATTGAATACAAGTCTAAATAGGCTATAATTTCATTGTACAAGACACTGGTTAGGCCACATTTGGAATATCGTGTTCAGTCTTGGGCTCCTTACCTCAGAAAAGACATTGAATTGTTGGAAAAGGTTCAGAGAAGGGTTACTAGAATGGTGCCTGGGGTGGAGAGATTGTCATAAGAGGAGAGGCTGAAATCTCTCAAATTGTTTACTCTTGAAAAAAGAATATTGTAAAGGGAATTAATTGAAAGTTTTGATCCATCATCTTTTTTTCATATTTAACAGTGAGAATAGTAGGACTAGGGGACAGAAGTATATATATTTTGGCAAGGTAAGAGTTATCTTCAGCTAAGGCAGTTTCATTTTTCTAAAAGGGTGGTTAACCTTTGGAATGGGTTTCCTTCGGATGTTTTAGAGACTGTAAATTTAAGTGAGTTTAAGAAAAAGCTTGATAAGTATATGAATGATAAGGGCTGGCTTTAAGATTTTTTAAAATTATTTTAATTTAGTTTAGGGGATGGAACAGCCGAGATGGACCAATAGGTCCTACGTTGTCCCAAAGCATTATGTTATTATCTTATATATTGTATCATAAATATATAATTATAACTTGGTTTTCACAATTTCTGGGAATGGAAAAAGAGATGAATGCTCAAGCCTTATATCCTATTTTTCCATCATGAATATTATTTTATGTGATGGCCCTGAGGGAGACTTTTTCACAAAATACTTTGGTAAATGTTGTTCCCATTCTCCTTACACACTTTCCAAACTCCATCAACCATGAGTGGGTGGTGATTTACGAGGGCAGGTCCGAGCAAATCATCAGGTACGTCAACTACTTGGTGAACTTAGTGAAATATTGTAATTTCATTAAATTTTACTCTGTTTATCCAGTTTATCAAGTTTACTTTTAATTACGAAAGAGTACTTCCTTTCATCGTACAATGAACCCTTGCCTTGCATCTTGAGGAGAAACTGACCAGTTGTCTGGGATGTGTGGCTGGATGTTTTGTCTTGATGGAGCCATACCACCAGTTATCTTGGATGTGTAGCTCGATGCTTTGTCTTGACGGAGCCATACCAATTATCTTGGATGTGTGGCTGGATGTTTTGTCTTTAAAACTCCCTACCAATTATCTTGGATGTGTAGCTGGATGCTTTGTCTTGACGGAGCTATACCAATGATTTTGAATGTTAGCTGGATGCTTTGTTTGACGCCCCCCCCCAGTGGCACAGCGGTATGTCTGTGGATTTACAACGCTTGAATTCGGGTTTCGATACCCGTGGTGGGCAGAGCACAGATAGCCCATTGTGTAGCTATGTGCTTAATTACAAATAAACAAACAAACAATTGTCTTGACGGAGCTATAAAAGTTATCTTGGATGTGTGCCTAGGTGCTTTGTTTTGACGGAGCCATACCAGTTATCTTGGATGTGTAGCTGGATGCTTTGTCTTGACGGAACCATACCAATTATCTTGGATATGTGGCTGGATGTTTTGTCTTTAGAACTCCCTACCAATTATCTTGGATATGTGGCTGGATGTTTTGTCTTTAGAACTCCCTACCAATTATCTTGGATGTGTAGCTGGATACTTTGTCTTGACGGAGCCATACTTCATTGCCATCTAATACATACAAAGATGGTATTTCCTCGCAGCGTAACAGTCTCAGTAGGTTAGCTTGATAGCATGTAGAGTACAACTTCGCATTTCTTCGCATCTTCAGATGCCTAAATTCCCATTAGAACTGTAATCTATAATCAATAAGCCCCTTCTGTACGTTTTTGAGATGTTATGTCACTAGAAGGATGATAATAAATTACTTTTGTTGCAGGTAATTAAGTAAATACACGTTTCGTCCTATGTGATGACACATGTATTTCCATTTAACTGTGAAATGCTCGTACAGCTTTGAACAAATAGTCTTCTAGTTGGCCATACGCGTATTGGAAGAAGCTTATGAACAAGACCATAAAAACAGAAGACTACTAATCACGAAACTGTCATAGCTAAAGAATTAATGTGAGCTTCTCATAATTAGGATCTTCACTTCTCACAGAATTATATTATCGCATATTAAAGTGGGGTAAAATAATGAGAACGTAACAGCTATCGCTTAATATTTACTTATATTTAATATTCTAAGACATGGAGTAGTTAGCGAAAATACAATTTAAGCTCCCATAAGTGACTAAAAATCTAGGTATAACTGGACTTTGTTGATTCAGAATCCCAGATTTCACACTGATTCTATATAGTGATTCACTCCTGGTGTGTTTTGAATTAGATTTTTTTTTTTGTTTTAGAGCAAGGCCACATTTGGCTATCTTCGGTGTCTACCATGGAGAATGTAACTCCTGATTTTAGCGTTGCATGTCCTTAAATTTACCGCTATTCCCCCAAGAAACAAATTAAATAAACACGTATGCTCAAAGGTTTTTTTTAACAAGTATGTTCAAATACTCCGCCTTTTAGGTGACTAAATAATGTGATTGACAGAACTCGTTTTATATTTCAAAGATCAAAATAAGTAGCCAAAGTTAAACGCGCTTATTAACGTCGCTAAATACTGAAACAACAAATAACAGCACATTTAACTTATCACAAATTGGTGAAATGTAAATATTGAATATAATTCTTAGGACAGCAAATAAGTTCATTTCTAAGCAAAAGGAATTCCACGTTCATGTAAACAAATATTGATGAATAAGGTAAATTAACATCACAAACAGAATTTGTTTATAATAGCCACACAAACCTAACTCAACAGAATGCAAATTGAAAGATTATTCAAAACTAAGATGCCAACTTTTCTGAAAACTTATTTTTTAATCCCAGACTAGTTGTCGTTTCAGCGCAAAGCTTCACAGTTACCTATCTACGCTTTGTCCACCGCGAGTAATCGCACCCCGGATTTTAGCATTGTATGTTCGTAAACTTACCGCTGACCCACCGAAGGACATTTCAGACGAAATGACCAGTCAGAGTAATGTACTAACCTTCTGCCAAATGAAAGAAAGTTCTACAATCTACTCAATACTATTGTCTATGAGGATCGTATAACTGATTATATGGCTATTTTTTTACTTACAAAATAAGGCAAACCTATTAAAAGATAATCCATATATAAAGACGGTGCTCTTAGTGAACTTGGTCGTAAAACGTAAAACAAAGATGTACGTTTCGCGTTAAGGTTAGCAACTGTGTTAGATCAACTCACCCGTCCCACCAAACATGCTCGCCCTTTCAGCCGTGGGGGCATTATAATGTGACGGTCAATCCCACTATTCGTTAATAAAAGAGTAGTCCAAAAGTTAGCGGGGGATGGTGATGACTAGCTGCCTTCCCTCTAGTCTTTCACTGCTAAAGTAGGGACGGCTAGCGCAGATAGCCTTCGTGTAGCTTTGCGCGAAATTCAAATCAAACCAAGATCAACTCACCTCACGCAATCTTTCTGACAGCTCACCAAGAATGGCTTCCTCGTCGTAATATTTCCCTTGGTATCGATGCTCAAAATAGTCCGTAATACGTTGCCTTAAGTCGCGAGGCAACTTACGATAAGCCATGTATTCTTCCACCTGTTTCACCTACGAAGAGCCAAAACATTCTTCTAAAACTTCCAGACATGTAATTTGTTTTAAGACATAACAATAGTTTACACACAAATCATGTTTACATTTAATCCATTTATTCTTCCTAGAGTACGAAACGGAAACTTGTACTTTACACTTGAATCTGTAAAAATGTTTAGAAGCAGTATAGCTTACAACACAAACACATCTAGAATGGTCTGAAGTAGAAAACGATAATCACATAGTAATGGCAAACTTCTACAAGTAGTACACCATGACAACCTATTAGAAACAACAACGGTTGCAGCAGTCAATAGCAGCTTCCTGGTAGTAGTGCATCGTAAGAACCTTCTAGAGGTACTATCGTAATAGTTTCCAAGTAGCAGTAATTGATAACAACTTACCGTTAGCAAGTAATCATAAGAACCTTCTAGAAGTACTATCCTCAACAGTTTCTTAGTAGTAACGCATGATAACACTGTAGTAACAGTACACCATAAGAACTTTCTATCAAGTAGCAACAATCCATAAAAATATTTGGTCGGGTTGACGATTATAAAATTTTAATAAAAGAACTATTTACCAACTTTTTGGTAGAAATAACCAAGTACCTACTGCTATCAACAATACTAAAATAAATTTCAAATTAGCAATTTATAAGAAACTTCCGGTAGTAAAAATATACAACATTTTGGAAGCAGGATTCCTTAACAGATTTTTGGTATCATTCACGCGTATTGAACGTTCGGTAAAACCATCAATCCTTTCAATTTTTTAGAAGTAAGAACTTAAAACAAATTTCTGTAACCTATAACAACGTGCAGGTTATGAATAACATCGGAATCTTCTTTTAAATGTTTTAACGTAATAAGAGATTCCGAACGAAAACTTAGACATAATTACTATATCTATTTTAGGATGTATAACTTTGCTTGAATTTTTGGTTTCCCAAATTATAATATCCTTCTATGAAAATATCAACCTTGAAGTGGATTTCATGCGCGTGCAAGTCGTAAGACGGCGAAGGCTGAAGTTTTGGCACTGAAAAGTGTGGTAATCTTTAAACAGCAAAAGATCACAGAACTAACTATCTATTTTTTACAATCTAGGCTTCCTTATACATGCACTAGGTGGCCAATAACTTATACATAGCTACTCTACCAATTGAGTAGATGTGCAATTTGACTAATTTTTTGAGCACCAAATTGCATACCCAGCTCTACCCTTGGTGAAAGTTCGATAGATCCGGTGAATGTCTAGAAGTAAAAGTGAATTCTCAGTCCATTATGAGTTGTTTTTTGTTTTGTTTTTTAAACTCGTGTAATGCATTTCAAATGTGTTACTTTAAAAGTTTTGCAGGTTATTTTAAATAACCTGCACTCCTTTGTCTTTTTTTTTTCTCTTCTTGAAAACAAGGAAAAAGGGGGGAAAATTGGCACAAAATGAGCAAAATTTCTGCTAGGATTTTCAGTAGTGTTCATTCTCCAAGAAAATTGTTGTAAAAAAAGAGGAAGTGAGAAGGTGTAGCAAATGAATCGAGAAACTTGAAAGAAGTGGCGTCACTTCTCGTTTAAAGCAGCCCATTCTACAGTAAAGATGTGGTCAAGATTTCTACTGTCTGAATTTGGTACATTTAATGCATTAAATTCAATATAATCTTGAATTTTGCTTCTATGGCAAACTATTAGGTCGTCAAGAAATATATGTCGCGTTTTGGAACATTTTCATTAACCACTCCCCAAAAAAACGTATAATAGTTAAATGAACCACCTAAACGTCATGTTAATGTACCCTATATCATGTTTAAAGTTTAGTATGCTCTAAACCCTTATAGTGATGGCACACGACGAGACACATTCGGCATGTAATGCTGTTTGAATTCAAGAAGGGAAACAACGCCTCTGTAGCCACAAAGAATATCAAAGAACTTTATATAAAGGTTTTGAACGTTCGTAAGTGTCAACGATGATTCAGCAAATTTCGTTCAGGTGATTTTAGCCATAAAAACTGTGATTACAGGGGCTGACATGTTGGAATTGATATTGATGCTCTGAAGATGCACCTTGAGTCTAACCCATGGCAACACACACACCCGTGAAATGGCCGTGAAATTGCATGTCTCTCATGAAACAATACGCAAACATCTAAGGAATATGGGAAACTTCATAAAGAAGGTGTTTGGATGCCTCACGAACTCTCCGATGATCATCGTTTCCAACATGTAAACGTTGCTTCGTCTCTTCTGGCGCGTAATGCGCGTGAACCATTTTTAGACAGAACTGGAACCGGTCATGAAAAATGGATTCTCTATGCGAATATTAAACGCCAAAAACAATGGCTCAGTCCAAGACAAAAACCATTTCCGACCCCAAAACCTGGACTCCATCCGCAAAAAGTGATGTTTTGCATTTGGTGGGACATCAAAGGAGTAATTCATTTCAAACTCCTCAATCCACAGAGAATTGTCAATGCAGAGATTTATAGTTAGCAACTAGAATATTTAAATCAAGCCCTTCATCAGAAACGCCCTTCACTCGTCAATGGGGAAGGTGTTCTTCTTCTCCACGATAATGAACGTCTACATGTGGCACGTTTGACGCAACACAAGATTAGGGAGTTGGGTAGGGAAATTCTTCCCCACCCACCATATTCTCCAGTTATGGCACCATCAGATTACCATCTTTTTCGTTCGCTACAACACCATCTTAATGGGAAAACGTATGCAAATGTGGAAGAAATTCGACATGTTTTTTGCTTCAAAGCCAAGTGCTATCTGTAATCAGGGCATTAACAACCTGATTGTAAGATGGAAAAGCATCATCGATAAGAATGGAGCCTATTTCATTTAATAAATGTTTTGTTTTGATATACAAGTTGTTCGGGTTTTTCGTCTAGAAAAAAAACGACATTAATTTCTTGACGATCTAATATATTCTACATCAAGAAGTAAGAAATTTCCTAAAAATATTTTAATTATGAAATACTTCTCTAATTCAGGCTTAAGCGCTTATTTTAACCTTAGTATAAACTGGAAGTCAAATGGTGTGAATCACAAAAGAGCGGGAAATTTAAACCGCAGCAACATCTTTATTCTTGTAGAATTTTATTGTGGTGTGAGTTTTGTTCAAACTCAACTATTCACAATAGCTAATGCAGTAACGATATATGGGTTATTCTATAAAATATTTTATTTTTCAATATATGTGAAAGCTTGATACGAATTTCATTTGCTTTTGGGCTACTAAGTTAGCGGGCCAAGACGGAACGTTTTTCTTGATACTAGATAGTTACCTCATCGGTATGGCTTAATACTTTTATCGCATATGTGAAGAATACTTGTACTATGATTTTTATACTCAGCTTATCAATTAAACATGAGGTGTTTAACATGATGCCTTATTTATTTTCTTTGGTCTAACTAACCATTATCATTACTTATGCTTTAACCACCGCAAACGTAGGCGCTAAGTATCAGCAACACTATGGTTCAGAGTACAGGAAACAGTACAGCTTCTAACTACATATACCCTTTAAAACGTTTTTGGAGCCTTCCCATGTCGTTACAGTTCATGTCACCACATCCGGTCATGCTCTATCTAACGACCACGCTCTCGACAATAGCTCTGCAGCATAGTTTACATTGAAAAATGTTCTGACAAATTTTATCATTTTCATAACATACCACTCTTCGCCATATGCTTCCCATAAGCCATCTAAGCATACAAGAACAGCGGTTTTCTTGTGCTTGTTATAACAATATGATTACACACAGAAATCCATAGGTACTGCGTTCAATGACTTGACTGGTTTGTCTTTGTATGGCAAAGCATGAATACCCACTTTATTCTACAGAAGCTTGAGGTATGCTACGCAACAGCTGAGGTACATGATATTTCTGTCATATTTACAGATGAAGGTTCTTTTGATTATGTTCCGTACTTTTGCTTGGGACACGTATACGGATTTTGCCACTGACCTTTAAGAATGTAGATTCATTCATTTTATAAAACGCTGTACTTTGGTTACCACAGTTACTGTCAATTTATGGATCGCAAGATCTAAGCCCGTTCCCGCCGAACGTGCTCGCCTTTTTTTTAGCCATGGAACACTATTATGTGACTGATAATTCCAACTTCAGTTTAAGAGTATCTCAAGAGCTGGTGGTAAGTAAAGTTGACTACCTGCCTTCTCTCTAGTCTGTCATTTAAAAATTAGGGATGGCTAGTGTAAATAGCATTCAAATAGCTGTGTGAAAGATTCAACAAAGAAACAAACCCACCATGGCTGGGATACGACTTGTTGCAAATCTCTTTCAGGATGGTCCTGGTGCCCCAGGTTGATCTATACTTCCTTTCTTTTCCAATGCCAAAAGGTACAAGGGATACCCCGTATCGGAAATTCTAAATCCCTGATCTGAACACATCAATATAATCTTAGTGTGTGAATATTTTGCGATGGAAAGGGCTGTTACATACCATTCCGAAAAAATGATCATTTTTCGATGAAATTACATTACCCATGAGCCTCAAACAATATCAAAATATGCTTCTGATACATGTCGTTAGACCGCAACGTTATAGCGACTGTTTGTCACGTGACTTGCTCATCTACACTTCATAATCGTTTTAATATAACACACTCAAACACCTGTATAATGAGAAACAAATATTACATCTTTTTTTTTCGGGCTTATAACACTTTTCGTGGAGACTTTTTTCTTCTTCCAAAATCGAAGGATGTTGATTAACCGAATCATTAAATTGGTAATCAGATAAAGACGGTCGATCTTAGAACTAGCATAAAACTTCTTGACTGGGCATTATTTCTCAGATTACTGATTGGGCAAACTTCATTCAAATAATTAAATAACTTAGTGACGCATAATTTCGGACGTAATTTTCACCCCCCAAAGCAGTATCTTTTTAATTCCTGTCTCTGAAATCACTGTATCGGTTGGACTTATATATATACATATTTTTTTTCAATCACATTGTGCATTTAATCAATCTAACAATTTACCTGGAAGGGACAGATAACTATACAAAGTTTTTTATTTTAAATTTAACAGAAAAATATTTGATGGTTTGTATTCAATCCACAAATCTGATTTACATAATATAGCTTGCAAACAGCTTTCATTTTGATTACTAGGCTCCTGAACTTTCTTTCCAAACAAGCAAACTGGAAACACTACACGCGTACGTTTATATGCATAAATTACATAAGACAATTCAGGTATCTGATATTGAAAGTTTCCTTGCAATTATTTTTCTTGGTTCTCTCAATAAAGATATGTTTTCCCACCGGTAATCTCTCGAATATTTTAAGTAGCGGAACATTATTTACTTAGATACGTGTTACGTCTGATTATATATTTGTTATTGCATCAAGAATTAAGAATACAATTTGAATTTCTACCGATACACCCATTCATCTCAGAACTATTCTGTTATCAAAAAAAAAAAAAAAAATATTCTGAACGATATTTTTGAAACTTTCCGCTTTTCCGTTGTGGCGTTAATTAAGCATTACCCAGAATTATGCCAATCCCACAATTTAATAAGACTTACTACTGTATAAAGAAATACCGCTTTTCAAGTTTCCTTCACTGTAACAACTGAATTATATTGTATCACTGATATATTCAGAGCAAACTTGGAAAATAAGTCCATAGTTAATATCGAAAACACCAGAGTTAGCCAAAGAAATTAGAGTTGAGAAGTCTTAATTTTTCCGAAACGGGGCCGAAGGCCGCCTGGACGGTGTCACCTGTTTTAACCACTTACACCACTATACAGTAGTGTGTAGTCTGTCAGTCAGTCAGTAGCAACTAAAATGACGTCACATAAGGGACGCTTAACGTTGCAATTTGTACTGTTGTGACGTTAGTAAAACGTGCACATGCCATCAATCACGAGAAGAATTATGCACTCTGTAGGCTACAAAACAGCATGACATATGAGCTTCAAAAGCAAGAAATAAAAATATTTATTATTCTTACTCTTAAAACAGAATACTTTCGGAAACACTGTGGAAGTACATCTAGTTTTAGGAAGTCTTTAAAATCCAAATTATACTCAGTGCCCTGAATATACTACTGTTACTATATCTGTGGAGATATAACAAGAGGAAACCTTTTTTAGCAATTTATTTATTCTTATGTAAACAGAAATACTGCCTAACACCATGAACATATGATTTCATCATTGGTCCATTTGTTTTCACATTGAAATATTAAAATGAAATTGTTATGTAGGACTAAAGAAATCATCTTAATTATGTATTTCCCACTTATGTTCTTTGTAGTTCTGAGGAATATAAGTATACACGTACAATCATTTACACACAAATATTTATATATAAAAGCCCCCAGTAGCATAGCGGTATGTCTGCGGACTTACAACACTAGAATCCGGGTTTCGATACCCGTGGTGGGCAGAGCACAGATAGCCCATTGTGTAGCTTTGTGCTTAACTTACAAAACAAAATCAATATATATAAAGAGAGAAAGAGGGAAGGAGAGAGATATTATTTTATTTCTTGTGAAGCACAAAGTTGAACAATCAATTATTTGTGCTGTGGAACCCTTAGTTTGAGCGTTATAAACCCTCAGATTAATTACCGACGAGCCACCGAATAGTTGTATACATATACAGCGCGAACTTATATTCAAATATCCTATTATTTACTTTTATTAAAGTTTGTATGTGAAAATAAACAATTGGGCCGTGAGCCACAATTTGATTGGTTCTAGTCAACACCATAATGAGAAACAAAAAATATTACAGACATCGCCTAATACAACGGTCCAAAACAACGTCACAATTTAATTATTTTTCACCACTTCATTCTGAAGAGTCTGTTATTTTCATATTAATAAAGTATTTAACGCTTGAAGCAATTTGTAAAACAAGCCTTCCCGTTCTTGAAGCACGTGCTTCATTAATTACATCAAAAGTAAGTTATTACATAACTCTTTGATTAGCAGCATGAGTGCATTACAGTTTTAGCATTATATCACAACTCTTTTTTTTCTTTTTGGATCCAGTGTAAATTTTGGTTCTGCTTCTAATAATAAAAATTTTCACTTTTTTTTTTCTGTTTTATTATTTATTGCAATCAAAAGAGGCAAAAAGAAATTATATTAGTTATTAAGTATTAGATATTTGGTAGCCTTCAAAATATAACGAACTAAACAATCCTCTACTAGCTAAATCTATTATTAATTATTTCAATGAAAGCGAAAAACAGAGACAAATAAAGAGAGTCAGATTAGAATGGTACTTACCTTTTCCCTATACTGACGTCTAGACGAATCTAAAGTCTGAATAAGATTTGTTGTATGACCAAGAAAGAGTGCGTAGCAGGTGGCGCCACTAATCATACTTAGTAGGGTTAGCCACATATCCGTTAGATTTTGTGGTGGGAATCGGCCATAGCCAATACAAAGCATGTGAGACATGGCTTTGAATAAGGCCCAGGAATACTGTTCGAACCAAAATACGCCCTGGAAAAATAAGACAGAGCACATAAAAAACTCCAAACTTGTGAAGACTATTGATAAGAATAATCCGTATCTTTAATGACAATCCAAATAACTAACCAACCATAAAAAAACACACAAAAACGGTCACTTTATTGTTTCCTTATAACGAAGAATTGAATTCTACATTAAACAGCCATTTCAAAATATGTTTTATAAAAGTTTAGATAAATATAGAATAATATATTTTTATTTCAACCAACGTTTCGCCATTGCGGCTTTATCAGGGTTAATAAACACAACTCGTGTTATCTTTATCTGGAGTGTAATGGTTGTTTTTCTAAACTTTTAGCAAAACGTGTAAATCCCTCCAGTATGCACTACAAATTTTGGAAGAGAACATTTCAAAACAGAAATATTCTTTAGTGATTTTCTCCAGTGTTCAACATTATGAAGCGAGTATCGTGAATTGATTAGACTGGTAGTTTCAGATTCGTCTTCTGTTTCTTCGAGTTTTAGCAGCCGCAACTTTAAATGTTAAATGACAAATCCTTTCAAATGTATTGAGCATGAGGAAGCGCAGGAAAGAGAGTTTTATTTATAAATGGGAGCAATCTTTCAGAACTTAATGAAGTCTGATATGTAAGAAAAACAACTGAAATAGTCCAGGAGACCATAACAATATCACAGCTCCTATACATAGAAGAATCTTAGTTGAACAAGGTGTGATTTATTATATAGGTGTCAATATGAAGGTGAGTAACAATGTCACAGTCCCTACAGACAAAATAATCTTAGTTGCTGACTTTGAACAAGGTGTGATTAATTGTATAGGTGTCAAGATGAAGGTGAGTAACAATGTCACAGCCCCTACAGACAGAAGGATCTTAGTTGCTGATTTTGAACAAGGTGTGATTTATTCTATATGTGTCAAGATGAAGGTGAGTAACAATGTCACAGCCCCTACAGACAGAATAATCTTAGTTGTTGCTGACTTTGAACAAGGTGTGATTTATTCTATAGGTGTCAAGACGAAGGTGAGTAACAATGTCACAGCCCATACAGACAGAAGAATCTTAGTTGTTGATTTTGAACAAGGTGTGATTTATTCTATAGGTGTCAAGATGAAGGTGAGTAACAATGTCACAGCCCCTACAGACAGAAGAATCTTAGTTGTTGATTTTGAACAAGGTGTGATTTATTCTATAGGTGTCAAGATGAAGGTGAGTAACAATATCACAGCCCCTACAGACACAAGAATCTTAGTTGCTGACTTTAAACAAGGTGTGATTTATTCTATAGGTGTCAAGATGAAGGTGAGTAACAATGTCACAGCCCCTACTGACACAATAATCTTAGTTGTTGATTTTGAACAAGGTGTAATTTATTCTATACGTGTGAAGATAAAGATGAGTAAGAAAGACAAACAAGTTGTCTCTGGTACAGACAAGATAAGATTTGAGGTAGGATGGAGATAACGTTAAAAGCAAGGCGTCTACTAATGTCTACAATTATGTCCAAGAGTGGATCATGTGAAGTCCTAAGCACCGACAAAAAAGGATGATTAAAAGCAAGAGGAAGGTGATATCAACAGGCATTTGGAATCTTCTACATGAAAAGTAAGTTTGACATAACAACTTAGGATATAAAGCAGAGAAAGCGTAATCAACAATCCACAACTGAAGACATACGAGTGTTGAAAGAGGTAAACGATAAACCCTGGAGCTTTAAAAAACTGTTAAAAGAACCATCAGGGTAGAGAGTCAAATAATCAGTAAAAGCTGGTAGGAACTCACGGCAGTAAACAATATATATATTAATCATGGGAATATGAATAGGGAAAACCCACCAATACAATGTCAAAACGTCGGGAGGGATGAGAAGAAGTTGACGAATAATCAAAGGTTGTACATGTCAAATATGTTTAACGGAAGCTACAGATAATAATGAGGCAAATATGCATCAGAACGGCAGGAGAAGTAAACTTTCTCAGCGGTAACAACTGAGGTAAAGTTGATACTGAATAAATCAAAAGCTAAATCCAGAGGCTTCACTTTCCTAGAAACCTGAATTCAAACATAGCCGAAAACCGAGAAGATGTTCATAAGCAACAATACAGAGAGCAAAGTTATAGGTTAACCAATATAGAGAGCAAAGCTAGAGGTTAACCGATATAGAGGGCAAAGTTAGAGGTTAACCAATATAGAGGGTAAAGCTAGAGGTTAATCAATATAGAAGGCAAAGTTAGAGGTTAACCAATATAGAGGGCAAAGCTAGAGGTTAACCAATATAGAGGGAAAAGTTCTAGGTTAACCAATATAGAGAGCAAAGCTAGAAATTAACCGATATAGAGGGCAAAGTTTGAGGTTAACCAATATAGAGGGCAAAGCTAGAGGTTAACCACCAAAATTGTATGCTGGATATAATAAATTATCTGTAAAAGGTAAGAAGTGGTCGTGTCGTAGACGATATAACTGTAATCTAACTCAGAAAAAAGCATTTAATCTATGAAGAAGCATCAGTTGGCTTTTGAAGTAAAGTCAGGAACATCATGTAAAAGGTTTAAGTTCACGATGTTAGAAAAATGCATTGGTTCAAGAAATCAATTTAACACAAAAATACGATACCCAATAACCCAAGAGCTTTCAAAATATGGGTTGTGGGGTATTGTATTTTTTTTGTGTTAGAAGGTTTAAACGTTACTTACAACCGTTAGTAAGATCAAAAATGTGGGGGGGACACAAATTTTGATTGCAGTTATGAGTGATTAATAGGTAGCAATATTAAAAGCCCTCTCAACAGCAAGCTGATTAAAGGTAAAGCAATCCTATGTGTGTTTCAATTTACGATTGGAGGAAATCAGATACTTGCACTTCAGTGAAAACCCCATTCAGTGTTTTATTTACCTATACTTTTTCGATGACGAGGAACCCACTTTGAGACTAATAATGGCTGGAGACGGCTTAAATGGGTAATGAAGAAAAACTTTAATATAAGTTTAA